ACACACGATTTCTTCTGAGAAGGCCATGCCTAAATAATTGAAAATGCAATTTTGCTGTTTGGGCCTCCTGGTATTCAAACCTCACCTAATTTCATTTGCCTTACTCAGAAGCATTTTGTGATGTGATTTAAGGAGGAAAAGTTTGATACAAACACTTTTATTTCATTTCCAAGCTGTGCTCTTGGCAAAGGCCATGCAAGCATCCCTTCACCCCACACCTTTGAATTAGGTTCCTAATTAGAGTTACCAGCTCCTTTTTGTCAATCACAGTGAATTAAATCAATTTCTGCCCCATCTCCAAATCCAATGCCATCAGAAGTAGGTGCTGAGCCTGACACTTCCCTCTCCTCATTCTCCTTTCACATTAAACTGAGCAGGAGAACCTCAGCTGGGCAAAACTTCCCCCTTTTAGCCCAAGCAGATGTGAAATGCTCAGCAGACAGAAATAAAAATGCTCCAGAAAGCCTTCTCCTTGCACATGCTGCATATTGATATCCAGGGGGAGCTGGGTCTTGACTTCAAAGGCAACAACAGCATCAAAAAAAGGTAAAATTGCCCCAAACATGAGGTTCAGCACCGGGCAGGGAAGAGGCTCTCAGGCCACAATGGATCAGATGCTGTGTTCAAATAACTGAACAAACTCCAGTCAAATCTGGATTTATCAGAAAGGAGACATTGTGGATTTGGGGTTTAGACCTAGACAGATTAAGGAGGCAGGAAGGATCCCTGCAGGATTCACTGGACAAAGAAGAGAGTTTTGGGAAGGGCAAGTGAAACTTCAGTGATCCAGTGCTGAAACCTCATCCCCACAGTCCCTAAACCCCATCCCACAGCTCCAGAGAGCTCTGCCCCAGCTTTATCCCACAGCTTCAGGCAGAGCAAGAGGAGCCCAGCCCCAGCCCCAGCCCCAGCCCTGGAGCCTCCTGCTCTGCCCCAGAGCCTGCCCCTTCTGAGGGGCCCTCCATTGAAAATTCATCTACCAGACCTCAGTGATGCCATTCCAGAGCTGATTCCTGACAGAAATCTCTTCTTTCTCACAATATTGGCAGTGGTGGAAATGAACATGAAGAGATGATAATAAAATCATTAAATACACGCATGAAATATATTCTTTTATAGACAACTGCAGCTTATTTAACCAAAGTTCTGTGCTTCAGTGAGCAGTGTCCATCTGCAGCACGAGAAAAATCTTATTTGGCCCTGGAGTCTTTTCCATCCAGAGAAGGAGGATCTCTGATTGAATTTGAGGATAATTACAGGGGCATGAAGGATGGCCTGTTATTAATCATACCACAAGAATTCAAAGAATTCCTCATCAGTTCTTTCAATAAGGCTAAAGAAATCCCCAGCCTCTCTCCAAAGCTCCTGCAGTCCTTTTTTCCAAAGCACTTGTAGAGATATGGAGCATCAAGCAGAGAAAGCTACTCAGAACAATTCAAAACAGAAAAGTTAAAAGAAAAGACCAAGGGAAAAATAAATCAATGCAGACCCGTAGGCTTTTACCAACTGTTCTTTAAGTAAAATTAATTTGTAATGTAATTAAACTTCTCCCCAGAGGGACAGGTATAATTGAATTAGAGGTGCCTGGGTAGAGTTGCAGGGTTTAGCAGATCCTCCCAGGCTTTCCCCTGCTCCTCTCCTGCTGCTACACTTCACAAAAAGTCTCCTCATTCCTAAAGTTCATTCCTAAGCACCTTCCCTGAAACAACATCAGCAGAATTTTTGATTTCTCTCTTGCTCTGCATCACACCAGCCAGGTCCTGCTCCTCTGCAGGATGTGATGTTCCCTCATCATGGATTAACTTTTAAGCCATTTTTAAACTCTGTCACTCCCCCAGTTAAAGGATTTTGCCAAGTATTTCCAGGAGCTCTTTCAAATCCCCTGGTTTTGTGCTGTCTCGTTCTGCCTCTGTCTAATGGATTTGTGCACAAATCTTGGGCAGAACAGGGATTTCCAGGAGAATTCCTGGAGGGCTCAGCCCCAGCTGGGCTCCTTCCCAGATGTTTGTGCTCCAGGCAGGAGTGAGGGGACACGTCCAGTCTGGCCATCACTGCAACACCAAAACCACCAGCAAAGTCCTTAGGGCACCAAGCATTCCCTGCACTCACATTAGGGATTTGTGGAAATGTGAGCTAAGAAAACTCTGCCATGCCCCAGGACCGGGGTACAAAGGTTTAGGTGATCCCCAATGCACAGCCAGGTGTGAATACAGGCCCACAGCTCCTCAGCCTGGAATTCGGGAGGGTTTGGAGGTATGGGAGATTTGGAATTTAAGAGGTTGAACTTGTAGGGCTTTTCAGGACAATTCTCCAAAGTTTTTTGTTCAAAAATCACACTAAAATAGGTTTCTGCCCAGAGCAATCATCCCCAAAAGGAGCCCACAGAGCCTCTGCTTCTTCTCTTGGAGAAAACCATCTTAAAAAATAAAACAAACCCCAAAACAAACAAATAAAAACCCCCTGAAACCCCACAACAAACAAAAATTGTCTGGTGTAGGCTGGAATTTCCATGATGACCACTCATGGAGAGATTTAGTTGGGAT